TGCTACAATCGCTTGCTTGCTTGAGATTTGTAAACAACCACATGGAGTTTTGCATTCAGGGTCTGTCACATTCCATGAAATGGGGTGGGTCTGGGAAGCTGCCCACCTTTGTCTCTGGGGCATGAGAATCCAGAATGGCAGTCAGGTACCATGTTAGGCCTGGGCAGACCTCACTTATTAGAGCAATTCTTTTTAGTGGAAGAGGTTTCAGATGCCTGTAGAGTTGTATGTGAGAGGCTTGGGTCCCCTGGGAATTGACTGTCCAAGGAGAATCACCAAAGACCCTGCCTGCAGGCAGAATGGCAATTTGGGGGAAAAACAGCCTTTAGGCAATGGTCGTTTATATTAAAGCCCCTGAAGGCCATCTCACCCAATTTCCCACTAAATTCTTTCCTAAGTGGCAAGATAGGAAGACATATTAAACTCTCAAAGTTTGCAGACACATACAAGCCTGTGCTGGGACTAACGCCAGCATCTTATGCACAGGAGAGCTGGTACACCGGGGAGGCCGGCATCAGAGGTCCGGAGCTGAGTCCCCTTGCTGGCACACACGAGCTGTGTAGCCATGATCTCGTTACTTTTAACCCCTTCCCACCTCCGTTGTCTCTCGGATACAGTGTGCTAGAGGAGAATCTGTTCCTATTGCTGGGGTAGAATCAGATAAGATGATAAATGCAAAGCTCTGAGCTCAGGGTCTGGCATTTAGCATGTGTTAAATAAATCCTTCCGATTACTTATTAAGATTCTTCTAAATGATTAAGAAAGGCCTCTAGTGGTTGACCTGAGGCCCAACAGCTAGACCAGAGGGAGCAATTTATATTTCAATTTGCCTGTATGTACCAGGCAGCCATTGCACTCCCCTGCCAGGTAGTGCTGGGGTCCAGAGAAAGAGTGTTCCAGACAGAACCCATCTGTGACCCTGCTTCACCAGAGGCCCAGGTGTCTGCCCACAGTTTGTCCAAGTGTAGACACACTGGAATCCCAGTTCTGTTCCCCATGTGAGTTTCTGCAGGCTACTGAACCTCTCTGTGCCACATTTTTCCCACCTGTAAAGTGGGCCACTGGAAGGCTTCCATGAACTGGCGTGTGGGTGTCTCTGTAAGCAATGCCCACCACAGCGTTAGTGCTCAGTAAAAGGTAGATAGTTTGATCATCATCAGACTTTCCAGACCTGCTTCTACCTGGAATGGTTTTCGTGTAAGGGACTTAATGTAAAAACCTCCCTTTGAGGTTCTGTCTGTCTCACTTCTTCTGGGATGGATGGAGTCAGGGGGTGGGGACATGAAGACACCCTTCTGGGAGCAGTGTGGATAGCTCATGAGATGTTCCCAGTTCTGTTTGGCCATTAAACTAGGATCTGTTGAAGAGAGCTTTTTATTTTTCTAGTCTAAATCTGAATAGAACCTTGTGCTACTGGTTGGACTGGGGTTGAGCTGTGCATTGGGGTGAGGAGTCTTCATTTACATCAGGTCTGCAGAGAATGTTCTCTGTACACACACACTCAGGAGCTGGAGCTGAGCACATCCTAAGAGAGGTGTGGGGTCCCACCTAGACTATTTCTGCAACTGTGGGCCTGCGGAAATCTATCTCCCTTTGCTCCATAACAGTAAAAAAAAAAAGGCAGGGGGCTCATATTTTGATCCCCAAAAACCTGTCCACATGTCCTTTATTAAGTAGCACAAAGCAAATTCTCCCACAAACTGGACCTCCTCTAAGTCACAGAAAGTCTGTGCCAAACCACCTGTCCTCCTGCACTGCAATTGGCATTGCCCATGGGACCCTGAACTCTCCTTCCCCAGAATTTTCTCTCTGGCCAAGGGTTGGAGTAGTGAATGGGCTGCTCCCCTCATGGGTCCATCATTTCTGTTTGTCAGCTTTGGGCGTGGTGTTCTCAGCCAAGGGCACCATCTGTGAACACTCCCTGGTGACTTTGACAGCAGCTGCACTTAGACTCTTGAAATACACCAGTTCTACACCGCTGCACTCCCATCACTTTAGGGGGAGCTTTCAGAGAGGGGAGTGATCTCCCTCCTCCTATCCGGAAGGTGGACTGTCCAAATACAGTAGCCCTGTTCTCCTGGCTCTGAGAATCAGGTGCTCTGCTACCTTCTATGGACCATCCCTATTAGACTCCAGGTGAGAGACAGCAGTACTCACTGCACCAGGGCCAAGAGCTTGAGTGACACAGCTTGGTGGATATACTTTAGTTAAGGTCTCATTAGGGCTTCCTAAAAAGTGATCCATGCCCTTGAGCTTCCCAGCCTTTGTGAACTGTTAGATGTTGCCATGGGTGACAGACATTTGGAACGATGCTCACTGCTTACAGAACACCATTCCAGAGGGAGGGCTGGGGAAGGAGATCTATAGTCCTTGGGCCATCTTCTTGTCCAGTGTTTCTGGACCTCTCTCTTCTTCCTCTTCTCCTCCAAGTCCCTCTCCTTCTTTTGCAGAGCCACCCCACCACCAGGAGCATTTGTTTCCCTAGTTGCCTTATCCCGTGAAATTTTAATAGTGCAGATATGTTGTATATCTGTTTATGTACTGTGGCCCAAGGAGGGCCACAAACCATTGTAATATCAAGATTGTTTGTCTCCTAGGAATCCATTTTCACCTCATCAAGGGTGATAACTATTTCTCTAGAGAATGCATATTCTAGTCTGAGACCTTGGGGCCATCTAGCCCTGAATGAGCGGGGGTGATTTGGGGTGAGCAGAGGGTCAATACAAGTGTTTAACAAGCGTGCTCTATCTGAAATTTGGAGCTCCATAGAGCTAGCTCAGTGTGAATGCCAGGAACGGTGGGCTTTTCTTTTCCTACAGCTTCTAATTTCCTGCTTTCACAAATAGTGGATGACTATTTTGGGGCAAATGTATCAGTCTGCATTTAAGAGAGTTTCCTTGCCTTGTATTTTTGGTAAAAAAAAAAGTAGTTATAGGTCAAAAGGCATCAGAATGTTACAGCATCTTAAATTACTGTCAATCAGTATCCAGGAGGAGTGGACCAAGAAGGCATAAGAGAGCCTATCTCCTCTCTGTATCTCCACCAACACTGGGCAGTATTCTTTCTAGAAGTATTGGCTAATTTGAGAGGCAAAATGGCACCTCAGTGATGCTTGATTAGCTTCTCATGATGGCCAGAGAGGGTGGAATTAATTAATTACTAATTAATTAATATCTCAAAGGTGGAATTGAATTAGTTAATTTCGAGGGTGGAATTTTAGATGCCTCTATCCCGTTGAATAGTGAGAGGAAAACCAGTGTCCTCCAGTAGCCCAGTGACTGCCCCATCCATTTGCTGCTAAATTTTCCTTTCCTACTGACTCGTCACACTCCTCTCCTACTCCTTTGGATTTTTTTTTTTTTAAATCTACACTGCAGTGTGTTTCTGGACTTCTTTTTCTGAATTATTGGCATCTTGATGATGACATCTGCTCAGCTTTTTGAAACAGGTTTTGAATGAGAGCTCTTTGAAGGTAGTTGCACTCTGGGAGTGGATTGATATGTGCACACTTTGGCAAACTCATGTGTAGACACCTGGGCCATCTGCACCAGTTGGGCTAACATGTGGTGAGCTCTTGGGGGAGACGCCCTCTTGAGCAGTTCTAAGGGTGCAGAATGCCACACTGATGAGTCACCGAGGCTCAGGCAGGACCTTGAAGGTCTGTTTTTATCTAAGTTGGCTCAAGTTCACCTTACTGGTCAATATCATGAAAGATGTGGAACTGGGCAAAGGAAAAACAAGCCAGAGATATCATTCATTCATTGCATGAGTACATACAAAGTGCTTGCCATCATGTGGAATATACAAAGAAGTTTCAAACTGGGTCCCTGACCTTGCAGAACTTACAAAGCAGGTGGGAAATAGGTACACAGATCAGTGACTGAGATACAGGCTGATAAGTTCTAGGACAGATGCACATGAAGGTAGATGGAGAACAACTCTGTCTAGTGAGATGAGGGTCAGAAAGAAAAATAAAAAGAGAACATTATATTTAAGTTCCATCTTAGAGAATGAGATGACGTTCATTAGGCAGACAAGTCGGGGAAGGCATCCTGGATGGAAAGAACAGCATGTACCAGAGGCATGAAGTTCTGAAAAAGCATGGCATTTTGTGCAGAGGTGGGGAGTAAAAGGCAGCAAAAGGGGTTTGAACACCATCCTGAAGCGATTTCCTTATTTTGATCAAAGATGCCATTGAGGGATCCCTGGGTGGCGCAGCGGTTTGGCGCCTGCCTTTGGCCCAGGGCGCGATCCTGGAGACTCGGGATCGAATCCCACGTCGGGCTCCCGGTGCATGGAGCCTGCTTCTCCCTCTGCCTGTGTCTCTGCCTCTCTCTCTCTCCCTCACTGTGTGCCTATCATAAATAAATAAAAAATAAAAAAAAAAAGATGCCATTGATGTTTATAAAGCACGATCAGTTATGCTTTGGGGGGAATAAACTACTGTATGGGAGACAGAGTGGAGGTGAGAGTGTGAGAGCAGATAGCCACTCCACTGGTGAGGCTGTAATTTTAATTCGGTGCATTGATTCTTGCAGACATTTCCCACCATGATGGTGATTGAATTAACAAGGAAGAAAGAGCAAGCGCAGGCTTGGAAGAGGTGAAAGACGTGATGTTTCAGTTTATGTGTGGGTGACAAGGATGAGGAGGTGTGGATGAAGCTGCAATTTCTATGAAATTTACAGCTGGGCAAATTGAGGCCGGATGATACAGCAGGTGTGAGGGTGGCCACTTGAGTGAGCGGTGCTGGTCGGGCACGGAGGTATAGACCTACTGGCAAATAGTTAGGCATATGTGTTACTGAATGTACCAATATTGCCAGTTTTTTGTTCTCCCCCTTGGTATTTTAAGAATATTGGACAATTTTCAGTAAAGCTGCCAGCTCTTCATTGGTTGAGGTCACGCCAAGGGGAAAAGCGTGATGATGTTTATTTCATTGGGCGCAGTAGGTCAATTTCAACAACATTTCAACTCACATTTATATTTTCTCCTTCCAGGGGATGGCCAGGTGGACTTTGATGAATTCATGACAATTCTTGGGCCCAAACTGGTGTCTTCAGAAGGTCGCGATGGTTTTCTTGGAAATACAATAGATAGCATATTCTGGCAGGTGAGTATGAATTTTTAAAAAAAATCAAATTTGACAGTAAACATGTGCCTGAGACTAACTTTTGACTCTGAATTGTTGAGCTTCTGTTCAGCGTGTGAAGATCTCTTCTGAGCTAGAGTGACATATGTTCCTAGAACTGGATGTGGAAGTAGAGGTCCATACTAGATCCTCTGAACAAAGTGTCAAAACTATACTCATTTAAAGTTAGGCTGAGCTATCTCCCTATATAACCAGAAACAGTTATCCATTTGGGAGGAAATATACTCCACTTCTGATACACAGAAGTTTTTTTCCTGGGGGCACTTAGAAAGTACACTGTTGGGACTGCCTGAGCCCTGTTCTATCCCTGGTTCCAAGATATCCTTGTTGAGAGGAAGGCCAGGTTGCCTCATGTGTTTAGATCCTATCAATATCCTTTTTCTTAATAGGCAGAATAGTTTTATCTAAGAGTTTGTGTTAGATGCTTCTCAATTTGTTCCTATTTCTATCTCGTAAGATCTCTTAAGACATTTCAAATATTTACATTCAAATTAAGGTGCTACAAATCATTTTGATATTCGTTCTTTAGTCTTAACAGGTGACTATCAGTTCATGATTATGGAATTTGGGCAATGGGTTGTGAACCATTATTTTTAAAATTTGAGTGAAATAATTTGTCAAGTTAAATTGAATTGTTGGTTATACATGTAAAGCATCACTCCAGTACAGTGCAGCTTCTTTAATTTTTTGATGTGTTTTTTTTTTCTTAACCAAAGATAATTCTCTAACCTAGGTAAACATTACAGTTGACATGTATCTCTAGTCTTATTCTGCTACCTATCTTGCATGTAACCAACAAGCACTTGGTAAGAACACATTACATGCCTTATAGTCTGTCACTGGGTGTTTCACAAAAGACATTGAAAACATAATCTTGGCTATTTAAGAGTTTGGCTGGGGAAACACTTTTAAGAGAGAAAAAACAGAAGAGATTCTTGGTGTGATGGTTACCAGACTAATCTCTCGAAGCCTGGGACTTCATGGTTAGCATCCTCAGCACCTCGCACATTATATACACTAGACTCTCAATAACTATTTTTTGAATAGAATGAATAGCAGTTCCAGAAGGGAGACAAATGTGGTCTTGAGGGGTCAGATAAGACTTCAGGAAATGGGAACACTTGCTTCAAACCTTGAGATATGGCAGGGAGTGACGAAGAAATAAAAAAGGAGTTCCAGGCTTGTCACGATGGGTTTGAATAGAGTGGAGGCCATAAGCACAGGGTAATCATTGACCATGATGAAGGTTTAGTCTGCCAGGCTTTGCTGGCAGAAAGGTTTTAGGACATGAGCAAAGAGAAGACTTGAGATGACCCCAAGGTCCCTGAATGGCAGGGGTAGGGTCATGGAAAAAAGAAGTCTTTGTGTGGATTTGAATTCTAAGTTGGCCATGTTGACTGTAAGATGAGGGTCCAAAAACTAAGAGAGGGAGGCAAGTCCATGGCTAGATGCATGCAGGGATGGACCACAGATGAGAGCCCAGGACTGGAAATCCAGATTTCTTATCCATCAGAGCTGGTGCATGAAATCATAGGCAAGGATGAGCTCACCAAGAAAAGCTGCATAAATGAAGATGAACAGAGAGGCAGGACCTGGCTCTGGAGGACATCCAGGGGCAGGGGAGAGTGACACACAAGAATGTGTCCTGAAACTGCCTCCCCAAACTGTGGTTATGATCGGCCCTGCCCTTCCCCAGAGAAGGACTTCTGTGGTTCTACTTGCCATGTGACGAGAATATTTCACTGCTTATGTAACCCTTCAGGTGTGACTCAATACTTGGAAGGACATACAGGTAGGGGCCTTTGGCAGAAAGGAAAAATGAACCCACAGTTAAGAAGATGGGGAAACAAGGTTTCTCACCAAGCTGTGTTCCAGCCCAAACAGATCCACTCTGGATAAACATTTGGGAGCTCTTTCCCTGCCTGATTTATTTCGTCTCGCTTGTGCTTTATTCCCCACTCTCAGTGCTCTTTCTACCCTTTGCCTCTGCCTTCATGGCCCCCTGTAGTCTGGAATAATGCTACCTGCCTTCTGGGCTCTGAGGATTCTTCCTGGCCCTGGAGGCCAAGGAGCTTTAGGTACTTAACCTCCACCTTAAGTAGAAGCCTCGTGTATCTTCCAGATGCTTCATAGTAGAACATCTACACAGCAAGGAGATCTTTCTCCCTATATCTTGACTGCCTCTACCATAATTCGGACATGCTATTATGTCCACAAAGTCTCTGTTTTTGCCTTATTAGAGACCCTCTTCCTCACCTGGGGAGACAAACAGGATGGGGAAAAGCAAATAAAGGGGGGAAATGCCATTCTGAAATATTTAAATGAATGCAGGGACACAAGGCCTCCATGGCAGTGGTTTGTCCTGCTGGTCCTCATGCAGCTCAGAATTTTATGACTAGCAAAGGAGAACAGAGACATCTATCAATTCTCAGTAGTCAGCTGTACCCTCCCACACTGCATCCCCCCCCCCCCCGGGTCTATTCCGAGACAGCATGAATAAATTGTACTTAAAACGTCCAGAGCATCCGGTTCTTCCTGGAAAAAAAGTTCACATTCCCAGTGCTTGAGTGATTTTTTCAGGTTTAAAAGAAGGCTCTGCGTGTGTGCGTGAATGTTCGTATATGCATGCGTATGTGTGTGTGTTTCCTTTGCTACAGTGGTTGAAGATTTATAGAAGAAAAGTCGCGGAATGAGGTCTTTCTGCCTCTGAACAGACAGGGGCATATTGATATCGGGAGGTACTGATACTCCAGCGGGAGGAGATGGTTTACTTAGACACTCTGATGAGGCTGCTCACCAGGGACAAATTCAGTTTCTTGTAGATACAGATAGGATGTTATACTTAGCAGGGCACGTGAGTGACCTATTTGCTGCAAAATATATTCGCTGTAGCTTGTGATGTAGAACAACAATAAAGATGTATGATATCATGGTTCCTGTGGGTCAGGAATCAGAAAGCAGCCAGGTGAGTGGTCCTTGCTCGGCGTCATGAGGTTGCAGTTAAGATGCTGGCTGGGGCAGTGGTCATTTGAAGGCTTGACTTGGGGTTAGAGGAAGTGCTTCAAGGTAGCTCACCCATGTGGCTGGCAAGGTGACGAGGGCTGTTGGCAGGAGGCCTCAGGTCCTTGCCACATGGATCCCCCAGCCCCTGTAGTGTTGTTTGAGTATCTTTATGATGTGGCAGCTGGCTTCCCTCTGAACAAATGATGCAAGAGAGCACAAGACAGAAGCTGTGGTGTCATTTCTGGCCTCCCCTTGTAAGTCAAACCCCATCATTTCTGGAATACCCTCTTGGGTACGTAGCCCATCCCCATTCGGTGGGGGAGAGGAACACCTCCTGGTGAATACCCAGAGGCAGCTGTCATCAGGGCCCATTTTGGAGACTGGCTACCACAAAGGGGGAAGGCTCTATAATCGGCTTCAGCTTCTGGCCCGACGTTGGCCCCACTGCCTTGGCTTTCCCCAGCCTTTGGTTCCTTCTTACCTCAGAGGAAAACTGACTGTGGCTGTTTGCTGTGTTCTCAGAAGTGATCCTAGAAGGTACTTGGCTCCTCTTGCTAATTATTTTTTTTATTTGTAAAGATTTTATTTATTTATTCACAATTGACACAGGGAGAGGCAGAGACACAGGCAGAGGGAGAAGCAGGCTCCCTGTGGGGAGCCCAATGTGGGACTCGATCCCAGGACCCCGGGATCACACCCTGAGCCGAAGGCAGAGGCTCCACTGCTGAGCCCCCAGGTGCCCCTCCTCTTGCTAATTAAATCATCCTCCTGTGCTCCCTGCTCACCTGCGTTATAGCCCACAGTGCCAAGAGGAAAATAAAAGCAACTGGGATCTGCAACAACAGCTATTCATCCGTTGGTACTTATCCCGAAAGTCAGGAGCCCCTGGCTCTTTGTAGGAAATTGGTATCAGTGAAGGTGGGGTGGAATTGGCTACTAATGCAGCCTCCTTCCTGAGGAGGAGGGTCTGAGGGCCATACCCCAGGGTCTCTGCCCTCCCAGGGTACGAAGCCCTCTGGGGTGAGGTTCCCAGATTTCTTGGCAGCCAGTTCAGAGCCTCTCCCTTATGTGGCAGGTAATAACTGCTGGAAATTTTTATTATATTCTTGCCCTTTGTTCATCAGGTTTCTGTGTGTTTGCCACTACTGCAAGTGACATTCTTGGGAAGGAAATGCGAAAGGGTGTTTGAAGTCAGCCTTAGGACTTGGTGTGTGTTGACCATGGAGAGGAGGAAATGGAAGGGCTGAAGGGGGCTAGGGCTCAGGATGGGATGGTTTTCATGTTCAGTGCTTTGGGTTGATTGCACCTGCAGGGAAGTGGGGTCCTCAGAGTCACTACTGTTCTGCCATTCATTGGTGCTCCACACCCTGACTCCACTTGCACCCAAGAAGGGGGGTCCTTAATACAGGAGATGGCCCTGCTGGAAGGGGACAGAGCCCTGTTTCTGCATCACAGGCTCACCTGAGTCACCACTGCAACCCTTTGTCTGCCTTGTCTTCCCCGGGGCCTCCAGCACCGTGCAGCGCTGTTCTGCAGCAAGTTTGCAGATAGCACGCAATAGAGAGGATCATGGCAAGGATCATGGCAGATGGAACAGCTCTTACAGCCCGGGGGTCCAGCCAACATTTCTGTCAGACTCTTCTCCCTCTGAAGAAAGAGACATGAGTCCCGTATTGGCTGGGAGAGCTGAGATTTGTTTGTCTTACTGGAAGGTGTAGGTAAAACACCTAAGGCTCCTTTGCTACCGATTTTTATCGTATCACAACCAAACCTGATGCATTAAGACCTCATGAGTTTAGACTTTCTGTCTTAAGGAATAAAACACATAAATATCTAAGCAAACGAATCGGTTCACTGGATGCTACTGGGTGCATGGGAGCGCATCCGAGGCTAGAGGTCAAGAAATAGGAAACTCACATGGGCTCCCTGGCTTTTGTGCATGCTCCAGAGTATTGGCT